AGTGTACAACACTCTATGTTCGGTGAGATTTTCACTGGACATAGAGTGTAAAACGTTCGTCGTCGCTAACTCTTAGTGTGGGGACTGGAGCACCCACAGAGATTAGCAAAAGACGAGAAAAGGTATCTGCCCGACTGACGAGATCGCAAGATCTAAACACGTGTATCGGGCTCTGTAAGTCAGCCCTGTTTGACAGACCACTGACATGCGTGGCTCAAATAATGATTATCAGGCACATTGAAACTGCATCATTTCGGTATATACAATTGCGCATTTTCTTGTGATATTTTGGCATACAACTTGACTAATTTGCTTGAAGATGGAGCTGTCCTGGGAGCCAATTCACTTGCTACTTTTACACTGATGACGCGTACGAAAAAGCTAATGAAGCGGTGCGCAGGACTGATGGACCCTCCTATGGACGGCCCGAACGCGACTAACTCTCCATACTGCTCTCTCAGGCGATGAACTTCGCGAACCATTGCCCAGCCATCCTTTCTGCAATTGTATCACCACCCCAGACTCCATTTATCATACGCGCCGCTTCACTAGCATTTTCCCCTCGCGCTAATCGAGCATGAACAGCAGGCGATTTTGTTCCCGAGACAGATCCATCTTTAAGCAAGTATGGGCAAATCGTATGTCAAGATATTCGCAAAAAAAAGGCGTAATTGACTATGCCAAAATCATGCGCGTTTTAATCATTCCTGATTGATAAATTTGGCTTTATTGCCCTGGTGCCAAAACCTATGGAACGACCTGATTATGACGACCTACGTTTTTCGTTTCGAGTCATTTTTCTGGGTATACTCTGTTGCTTTCATCATCTGATTGCTTGTCCTCTTCAGGCTCCTCGTCGGCATTGACAGTTTTTTCACTAAAATGTACGAGTGTATATACCAGCATACAATCAGCGAAAAACAGATCTGAAGCTTGTAAAAACTTTCACTTAAATTGAATTCCAAAGCTAAACAAAGAAACTAACATTTCCTCATCATTGATTTCATCGACTTCAGTCTGCTGTTCTGTAAGTTTTGTTTTGTTCGGATCAATCGACGGTGATTTTCTAGCTGTGGCCTCCGCATTCCTCTCAGTTTCTTCTGTCCCTTCAGAGGGCTCTACAGAATCTTGCTCATTAGCACTACCAGTAACCGTGCCCTCTTCGGCTGCTTCCATATTCTGAGTAGAAAGTAGTTTGATCGAAAGAAAAACGTGGTGATATTTGATACGCCTTACCTGTTCCATGGACTCTGACTGCTGCCGTGAAGTGTTTCGATGAGATCTCCTCGGTGAAGCAACTATGTCCACATCATCCGTATGAGAATCGTCACTACTTGTCTGCTCCTTTCGAATACGCTCTGTAATTCGGTCTAGTAAATCATTGTAGTACTCCTCAATTATGTATCACGATAGGACTACGTCTGAATCAGCAACTATGGATTCCTCGTAATGTCAAACGCTCCACAGACAGACCACCGACGCGATGGTTCGATTACTTCACGAACAGCATAGAAGAAAAATATGATATGTATCGAATTCTTAGAACGAGAAGAACTCATTAGACTACTCTTATACGCGATAGGGAAAGATGGAAGCATTACTGGTGTCCGCTCGAGTCAGTCGACGATCAACGGGACGGCAGGTGATGCAGGTGAACCAACTTATGGGAAAATTTTGAAATAACAATCATACTCTCGTGAAAAATCCCGCCTCTTTTCCTACAAAGTAAGCAGAGTACTGCATTTGTTGATGAAGCGGCGTACAGAAAGAGGGGTCATAAATGATGCCTTAGTTCTTTCCACTCCACCTCTCTTTTGCAGTCAATCAACTGAACGCCTTAACTCGGCTAGCCCGAAATTGTAAAGTGATTCGTGTCGACTAACATCCTATGTCACTGTTAAGAAGACGAGGTCCTCAATCAACACCCGAAGCAGCGCATGAAATATCCGAACACCTTTGGGGACGGCGAATGCGAGGGAAACGAATCGAGAGGAGACAAGATGCAAACATTTCCCTTGCGTAACACATTCAAGGAGATGGAAGGCGCAGTTTTCAGTGATCGGTGTATCAAAAGTGAGGTGAACAAGGCACTGGTACGATCCCTCTCCCACCACTCTCTTGGGATCAATCATCTGAATGCCTAAGAAAGTCTCAACTTGGCTGCCTCAAAGACTATAAGAATCGCTTAGATAGCATTCTAGAACGTTCAAAAAGACGATGAAAATCTTCCAAGCAGCAGCCAAAGGAACACGTGGAAGTCTGGAATACCGTATGGCCGACAAATACGAGGAAACAAGTCGAATGCTAGAAGTACCGGGAACTCCATGGTAACATGACAGGGTCGTGTAAAGAATAAATTAGTAGGAAAGTCTGCTACCTGCGTCACGCTTCTGTATTTCCAACATTTCGGCTTGGCGTGCTAGATAGGCGGCAACAAGTTGAGGCCCAGAAGTACTCTGAAGGATAGCGTTCAGAAGTATTTTAACAACTTAACTCTTTCGGGACCATGGATCCACCTCCTCTGTATCTCTAACCCGCAGGGTGGCAACGCTGGACGGCCTGCTTTACCTCCTCTGCATCTCTAACTCCCAGCGTGGGAACGCACCAAATGTATTATAGTATTACTTCAATTTATTATTGTTATTTTCCTATGTTATGCTATAAGTTAACGTATTATATTGGTGTAAGTAGGAAAATAACAACATCAAAACAATTGAAATAATACAACAATACATTCAACGCGTTTCCTCACTGAGGGTTTCCGATGAGAAAAGGCGGGCCCACGGTCCCGAAAGGATTAAAACAGAATTAGGTGCACTATGAAAAAAAGTGCAGATAATATATGATCTGAGAAAATTTAAAATAATTAAAAAAACGACTTCCTACCACTTCTGCTGACGACTTCTCTTTGACAGCTGTCTCACCACCACTGTTCTGAAGCTCGTTCTCGCATATGTGCTGCAGATTAAAATGATTAGACTAAGTCAAAATGAAGATGAGACCTGCAGTTTCAGACACTTCTTTTCATTTTATGCTTTTCGGCATTGTTGTGATGTTCCAAATACTCATAAGAGAATTTAGTGATAGGCAAAAATTTAACCTCACACAGAGGTCGAACTTGTGTTTCACCCATATGAAAGACCATGCTACCATTACACCACCGAGGCAAATACTTGCTATGGTTGCACCATTAGACCAGTTAGTTTAAGAAAGAGAAAGGAATTCGAAATTATAGTGTTTTCATTGCTTTTTTCGCAGTGTTATTATGTTATTTATATGACTAAGAGATTGAGTTGTGAACAAAAAGCACGGCCTCAGGCGGGAATCGAACCCACGTTTCATCCTATCAGGGGACGCCTGCTCTCCCACTACACCACTGAGGCACATTTGCCCGACCACTCATTCTTCTACATCTCAATGTTAGCTATCAGCCACCAACCTTTGACAGGTTTGGTCGGGTATGCGATTATGTTCTTGTTCACCACTCAATCTCTTAGTCATATAAGAAAGGAATTCATAAAAATCTCTCGATGTTGATCAATTCCTGAAGAATTAGCCATTTCATAAGGGATCGTTAGAGTGAGACTTGATGAATATCTGGGACTCTTAATCACTCGCGTTGACCTTCCTATGTATCAAGTCGGTACTACTATTCTCGAAGACAAATCTGGCACCAATTCAGCAACGCCACAGGGAGGGTGGACTTAATGAGCCTTGAGCGCGGATTTGAACTATCGACTGGTCGATGTGCGCAGCAGAGCACCTCTAACCACTGCGCCAAACAGGCTACATAGTCTCCTCATAACTAATTCGAAGTCACAAGATAGAAAAAACAACGAATAAGAGTGAATAATGAGCACACGTACAGCTTTCAGTCTCTCCGTGAGCACCGATTTATTGCCGATTTTCGAGAGGCCTCGTTTTTCCAGTTCGTCTCTTAGATCGACTACACGTAGTGACGACAGTGGTATGCCGTTAACCAGCGGATCTTCGACCGACATTCGATAACTTCTCCAATCGAAAGCTGTAAAGAATTCTGAAAAATAACAGATCCTAACCACAGCATTAGATCAATCTTTGTAAACGTCGACGATTCTTTTCTGCCTCAAGTAATCTAATCATCAACGCCGCATAAAACACACAAATTCGACAGCCAACGTCCTCAACGTCATCAATTTGAAGAAACGGGCCAAAATACTGTTCTCAATAAGAAATGACCTAAAGATCATCAGACGCCAGTAAGAAGTTATGGTTCATCAATTTTCTAAACTTAGGCCTATGGATGAGCCTAAGCCTAAGCCCAAGTTTAAGCCTAAACCTAAGCCAAAGCCTAAGCTAAGCCTCACCCTAGACGTGTTCTCGTAGTTTATCAAATTTCTAAACCTAGGCCTATGACTGAGCCAAAGCCTAAGCCTGAACCTAAGCCTAAGCCTAAGCCTAAGCCTAAGCCTAAGCCTAAGCCCAAACCTAGGCCTAAGCTTAAGCCTAAGCTCAAGCCTAAGCCTAAGCCTCAGCCTAAGCTAAGCCTTTACCCAGACGTGTTCTCGTGATTTCTTATTTAATAAAACCAATCAGAAAGTACTCCAAAAATTGATGGGACCACATCTCTCCACAAAGGCCGATTCTCGATACTTTTTCCCTGTAGTGTTAGCCCAAACAACCACTATATACAAAGCATCGAATATCAAGAGTTATGTCGACGATCGAGGCCAGCCAATTTGACTGGAAAACCAAGCAAAGACAAGGTCCTTAACGAAAAAAATGATAAACTGAAGGTTACTCGAAACTTCTAATGTTTTTGCTGCCTTTTCTCGCAGTATTGTGGTGCTTCAAATATATCTAAGAGAGTTAAGGGGTAAGCAAAAATTCGACGTTAGGCAGGAGCCGAACCCGAATAACCTGGTTTGCAAAGCGATATCGCATACTCGACCAGACGTGTTGAAAGTTGGTGATTGATAGCTATCACAGAAATATTGAAGAATGAGTAGTGACGCAAGTGCGCTCCTGTAGTGTAGTGGTAGCACGCGCCCCTGGATGTATGAAATGCGGGTTCAACTCCCGCCTGAGGTAGGATTTTTGCTCACCACTCAATCATCGATCTGTGATAATTCTCATCTCCAAAAATACAAACTGAGACGCGGAAGCAGCAGAAATATGCCAAATTTGGTGGCTGAAATGGCCATTCAATCGAGTTCAAATCCTAAAACTATTTATTAACCATTCAGAAAGACGGGGTTAAACCACAGTAATCGAGGAGGATGGAGAAGAAAAGAATAAATCGAAAATGAGCTGAAGAGGAAAAAATTCATGAAGACAAGCCGTCCATGCATCCAGGCATCCAAAAATCCGAGTTTAGCAAGGTGATTCCAAAGGAAAAAGATTTTTTTAATAAAAATTGATGACATTCAGGCATGAAAAAAAAGGAGAAGAGAAAAAAGAGAAGAAAAGAAAGAGAGAAAAGAAGGAAAACCTAGGAAAATTTCCTCAAGGAAAGACGACCGGGCACCAGAAAATTCGAAGCCGCCGACGCTATTCGTCATCGCATCTCGGGTCAACTAAGTGACAGGGTGAAACTCGTACGCGCGAACGTCGCGCGACGTCGCACGCGGCACATCGGTTTGGTTGGAGAGTTCTCATCGTGGAAGCAACGGGCTTCGAGGCTTTCCTCTTCGTTTGTGGTCAAGGACAGTCGGTGTGGCATTTTGCTAGATAATTTGTTTGGAGCTATCAGAACCGAGGAGCCATTATTTGATAGTGCGGGCCCCAGTATAGGGAAACTATGATGGTTTAGCTGTCTTGTTCCCTGTAGTCCCGAATTAACTGATTGCCTTCCGCGGACCCAATCTGGGCGTATCCGCTAACGTGGGTAAGCTCCACCTCTGCCCCGACAAGTCGTCTACTACAGTATTATTTTTCGTCACAGGACTACCCGCGCATTCGTCCAAATTCAGCTGCGGATTTTGCAACGAAAAGTAGTACGGTAGTCGGTGACTCATTGGGTTAGAGGAGGAGGAGGAGGAGGAGGAGGAGGAGTAGTTCCCACGCTGGGGGACACGTCCAGTTTGGGTCCGCGGAAGTCAACCAGTTAAGCCTAGTCGGAGCTTCTTCACGTTGTCACCACATTAGAGCAGTCACCGGCGCTTGTGAATCGGGGGAAGATTAGCACCTCGTGACTAACAACTACCATGAAGGCGGTCATTCCTGATGCGTTTACTCTTAGCTGGCCCCGGGTTGAAACGTCTCACTCCTTTCCAGCTTTAGTTCTCCTGCGGGGGATTTGAAGTCCTGTTATACCTCACAGTCCGACACCCAGTAATACCTCCCAACTATGATGACGCGGTAAGCCATCTGGGAGGAGAGCTATTATTGTTCTGAAAATGACTAAAATTTACGAACCTCGACAATCTCGGAAAAAAGAACCAAAATTACGAAAATACTGATGAAAGCAATAGACATTACATTGTTTGTGCGACACCGGTTGCATATGACACTTATTTGCTTGCGAAATTGAAATCATCAGGAAATAGTGTGTAAAATGTTTCAAGCTCTTCATAAGGTTTGGTAAAGGCATCTCTAGTGGTATACGTACGTCTGGGTGTATTCTCGCACGCCTTATCACATGTTTCTTTTCGGTTATAAGGAAGCAAAAGAATATTTGACCTCACTGGTTGTTCAAGCATTTCTTATAGGAGTGTTAGCAATCATTCGAAAACTTAAGTCTCTGGCTAGAGCCGCACATGGCCAATTTTCGAAAAGACCCATTTATGACGCTGTCAAGTTCAGAACAAAATTATGTTCCACATCGGCCCCACATTTCAACTATTACTTCGCTTGAAGCACGAAAAGCACATGAACCTGCAGAGAAAACTTTTAGTCTCAGATTCACACGTTTAATCCGAAGTTTCGAGAAACAGTTTCTAATTGAATAACAAAAACCTTATTTTCCCATGACCCGCGGAAGGGCCAACCGATCGAGCGGCGTGTTGTAACGCTTACTTGCCCTGGGCTCCGCGCCCTCCACCCACGTAGGAAAGCCAAGATACCCTTGTCCGCGTATGTAAATCTAATATTATTTTCCCTGCTGCACTGCAGAGAAACGGTCTGTCCAGATAATTGAGCACAGCGCTGGAATCTTGAAATCTTACGCTATCGATTGGTTACTAAGAGTCTAAATAGAGCTCTATTCGATGAAAAATATACGCGCATGAAACATAATCTTATTTTAAACTTTACAGCGTTATGAAAGGGTCTTTTCAAAAATCGGCCATGTGCCGCTCTAACCAGAGATTTAGGCTTTCGAATGGTTGGCAACACTTCTATAAAAAGTTCTTGTACAGCGAATGAGGTCGAATATTCATTTGTTCCCTCGTAACCGAAAAGTACCCCCACGTGCCTTTCGACTCCCGTTAACATTAGCAGGACTCTAGAAAGAATCGACAGAGCAGGAAAAAGTGAAAGAATCACTTGATGTTGCGTTCTTTCAGAGTGACTGATTGTCGACGGGCTCACGGTTGTCACTCCACTATAATGTCATATCTTCCAATCGACTTTTGAGACCTCGCGTAAAAATACATTATAATTCGATAGAATGTTTCAAGCCTCTCATGGGGGACATTTTTTCTCCATTTCTAGAAATTTCTAGGCTTTTTGTTTAGAATGTAAAGAAGGTCGTGAAACACGAGAAGTTCAGTAATAACTACAGTATCACTGCTATTGGCAACTATCCAAATGTGGGGTCCTGTGGTGTAGTGGTTATCACGTCTGCTTCACACGCAGAAGGTCGCCGGTTCGATCCCGGCCAGGACCTTCTTTTGGTCTCCTTTATTGAACAATTGTCATGAATAATGCAAAAAAAAATCACAACATTTTCGTCGCATTTTGATAGTTGCTCCGGAGACTTTCAAACAAAACTGTGAAACGGTGCTAGTATAGCAGAAACTTAAGAAAAATGTCTTTTGACGAAACCCTAGTCATGGCGGTTTTGTGGTGTAGCGGTTAGAAATCCGCTTATAGAAGGTCGCCGATTCGATCTCCGCCGGAACCTAGTTCTGCTCTGTTCATTGAATAAAAGGCCTTAAAAACTTTCGCAGCAAGATTAGAACGTTCTCACATTACGGGTTAGATCAAATTTCAACGATCGCACCAGAGAGTTTGCAGAGAAACGGCAGAGCGATGGAAGTACGATAGCGATTCAAAATCACCACTTCATGCGATCCGCCGTACGTTGGGACCCTTGGTGAATTGACTATCACGTCTGCTTTAATCGGAGAGGGTCGTCGTTTCAATTCAGAAGGCAAACCTGGGTTTTGCAGTGCTCATTAAGAAGTAAAATACGGCAACTTCTATTCGAAAATATACAAAGTTTGCTGCAATTCGATTATCGCAATGCGTTTTCGAACTCTTTGATAAAAAGGCTATCCTCGCTTTTTCCACGAACTTTCAGAGACCATTAGATAGCCTAATTTTCTGCCAGTCCAACACTGTGCTTGTTTTCTGAAACGGACTTCTTGGCACGTTGTAGCAGGGAAAATAAAACCAAGTTTCACCTTGGTGCGCATAGTAGCGCGAAGGTAAAACTTGATTTTATTTTTATTTTATACCGCTATTCAATTCGAAATTCTTTCTCCACTTCGTCAAGTTTTCTAGGTTTCAAAAAAGAATGATTTAAGCTCAAAAAGGGGTTGGTACGCCAGGGTCATACACCGGTGTTTCGGAGGTTCGTCCTCCTCATCAGTGACCCCCGCCCCACATTCAGCCCTGCATTGAAGCAAGGAGGGAGGCGTATGTGGTTATGGCACAGTGTACTATGACACTGTACCATCACCACCTTTCAGTCGATAGATTTTTGCTGTTAGATCAAAACTAATTTAAAAGATCGACTGTTTTTGAAACCCAAAAAAAAACATTCATTATAATTCCAAAAAAGAATGATTTAAGCTCAAAAAGGGGTTGGTACGCCAGGGTCATACACCGGTGTTTCGGAGGTCCGTCCTCCTCCTATGTTTTTTTTTGGGGGTTTCAAAAACAGTCGATCTTTTGAATTAGTTTTGATCTAACAGCAAAAATCTATCGACTGAAAGGTGGTGATGGTACAGTGTCATAGTACACTGTGCCATCACCACATACGCCTCCCTCCTTGCTTCAATGCAGGGCTGAATGTGGGGCGGGGGTCACTGATGAGGAGGACGAACCTCCGAAACACCGGTGTATGACCCTGGCGTACCAACCCCTTTTTGAGCTTAAATCATTCTTTTTTGGAATTATAATGAATGTTTTTTTGGGGGTTTCAAAAACAGTCGATTTTTTGAATTTATTTTCTAGCTTTTTTTTCTAATTTTTTAGTCGCCGCTATACTTCTACTCTTCCATGATTTTCCTTTAATTCTAATACAAAAATCTCTTAACTTTTGACGAAAGAGAGAAAAATTTTGACACAAATTACGAAGACCGCGCCTTTTCGAGGCAGTTTTGAGATCTCCGCGCACAATACATTCGAGAGATGCGCGATAATGCTCGGCGAAGGTGAAAGATAAACTTCATTTGGCTACTACAGCGCAGTAACAAGGCCTTTCCAGGAATCAAGCAGACTTTCAAAATTGTCGAAGTTCGGGCTATTGATTGATTCCTAAATGTTTAAGAGAAAAGCTGTCTCTAGCGCAAACCGCTCAGAGTGTTAAACCCAACCTCATTTTCACTGCTACAACGCACTGAAAAGGCAATCCCGGGACGAACGCACTGTGTTCGAATCATTGAGATTTGGGCTGTCGAATGACCACTAAAAATATGCAAAAAGTGCGGAAAAGACCCTATTCTTGAAAGATGGATAATTGTCTCGAGATAACGGGAAAGCACCAAGCCATCACGGCAACTTGTTCAATGAACACTGCCAAACCATGGCCTCTTACCGGAGTGGAACCGACGATCTTTAGCATGTCAAACAGAAGGTAATAACCATCACATCATGTATCGCCATAATCGGTGTTTCGTCAAACACAGTCATTTTTGTGATCCTGATTCACTTCCATCGTTCCCCAATATCGCTCCAAAGTCTCCGCTGTTGATGTCGAAATCTGGCTTATAGCATATAGACGCTCTTATTTTGGTGTAAAAAGTTCCATGGAGATTTGTTCAATGAAGAGTGCAAAACGAGGTCCTGGCCGGGATCGAACCGGCGACCTTCTGCGTGTGAAGCAGACGTGATAACCACTACACCACAGGACCACACGTCAGTGTCTCGGCAGCACCGGTGATTCCTTAGTTGCCACTGTACTTTCATTATTTGACGATCTTATCTGCAATTCTAAAATAAAACGTTTAGAAATTTCTACAAACGGAGAAAAAATTCCGAAATAACGAAATCCTTGCTCTCGAGGCAGCCTTGAAGTCGTCGCGCTCGGCACGATTACCAGACGCTCGATAATAGGCGTCGAACATGAAAGGTAATCATTTTGACTGCTATAGCTTCCTAAAATTTCGAATAAAAGTTTTAACGAAAAGTAAAGCGATGAAAGTTTAGCAGCAACTGGAAAATCTCCTATGTTAGTGAAACAACATCAGTTGGGGTCCTGTGGTGTAGTGGTTATCACGTCTGCTTTACACGCAGAAGGCCGCCGGTTCGATCCCGGCCAGGACCTGGTTTTGCTCTTTCTGTGAACAAACTGCTATGAAAGTGTTTATAGTGAACATTTTAACGCGCAGGTCAGATTTCGACTTTTGCCTCAAAGACGTTGAGCAAAACCGTAAAGCGCTGGAAGTATAACGGCAGCACATATCACCGCTCTTGGCGAACCAATGCGCGTAAGGGGGCTCCTGGTGTAGTGGTTGTGACGTCTGCACTGCGCGCAGTAGGCCGCCGGTTTGATCCCGGCAAAGATCTCATAGGCAGTGCCCATTGGGAAAACTATTCTACAACCTCTATTTGAAAATTCACGAAGCTGTAATAGCTAGAAGAAACTTATCTCTCACCCTCAGCACGCATCATTTGTCTTACCGTTTTATTAGCTTAGGCTTCTATTTTTATTTTGTACTGCCAAATGAACTCGCTATGAAGCCTAAGGGAAGGAGCGCGCTACGTTATCTTCTGTTCGCTCTTTCAGCGCTCTAGGAACAACTTTTCGAAAAATAGACTTAGCTCCAGAATCACCTAGATTTACGATGTCAATTAGTTCCTGAAACTTTTAATATACCTCATAATTAATAGTTGAGCCAACACGTCATGTGGTCTGTTAATAGGCACTTGTACAGCACGATACACGTGTTTCGACTTTGGGCGGCCTCGTCAGTCGGGCAGAACCTTTCGTCTTTGGCCAATCTTTCGTGGGTGCTCCAGTACCCCATTAAGAGTAGGCGACAACGAACGATTTATACGACTGCCCTCTAGTGAAAAATCATTAGATCTGCAGTATTGTATAATCGGTTGTTCTTGGCTGTCACACATGTATCGGGCTGTATAAGAGCCCATTAACAGACCACATGAAATGTTGGCTCAAATGAGTAATTATGAGATATATTGAAATTTGAGCGTGATCTCAAGAAAACGCTCGAAACGAACGGTGTAATACTGAAGTTTGTCGAAGAACCAATCAGAACCCTAGCTAGTTCGGTGTTGTATGTTGCGAATGATACGAAATTCCATCGATGCGCCCATTCACGTACCCCAGCCGTACAAAAGCTTCGCGCCGAGTGTGAAACTCAACTCTAATTACGCTGCTACATGCACTTAAAGACCCTCTTGAGTGAACAAGCAAATCCTTGAAACCGCCAAGAGTTGCATTATCGAATGAGCCCTGAAGAATAAACAAACAGCGAAGAAGGCCTGCAATAACTGATTTGTATTGAACATCACTACTCATGATTTCTAATGTTTCTACTTCATTTTCTGCAGTCTTATAATGTCTCCATCACACCTAAGAGAATTGAGTGGTGAGCAAAAATTCTACCCTAGGCGAGGGTTGAACCCATGCTTCACCCATACATACCCCATAAAAGCGTTAGGAGTCATGAGTATTACGTATCACAATAGCTATCAGCTTAACTGAGTTTATAATGTGATATTGCTTACCCGACAAACTTGTTATAGATTGGAGCGTGATAACAATGTTAGGGGCACTGGAGAATGAGTGGTGGTGAAACGATGCCTTTGTGGTGTAGTGGTAGCACGCGCTTTTGCTATGGGTGAAAAGCTGGTTCGACTCCCGTCCGAGGTCGCGTTTTTGCTCACCACTCAGATCTTTTAGGTATGTATGAAACATCAATAACAATGTGTAAAATGCAATTAGAACACTAGAAGTCTCTAAGTCTTAATGATGATATTACGTTGTGTTGAAGTCAAGATAGTTTTAAAGATTTCAAGCCATAATCATGGAACGTGAAAGGTAGGGACTCAAACATACATGCTTCTAGCGCAAAAATTATCCTGTGATGTGTGTTTATCATGTCTGCTTCACACGAAAAGGTCTCCGGTTCACTCCCGCCCAAGGCCTGATTTTGCACTGTTCATTGAACGAACTTTCATGAGAACTTTCTTAGCTTAGTTAGGCTTTTACATTGCTGGTCAGATTTCGACATGCGCCTGAGGAACGAAACTCGAAACATTGTTTTTGGTAGACCGCTACATGTTGGGGTTCTGTGATGTAGTGGTTATCACGTTTGCTTCACACGCAGAAGGCCGACGGTTCGATCACGACCAGGACCTGGTCTTGCAATGCCGATTTAGGAAAATTGTACTGTAACCTCTATTTGAGAATTTAGGTGTTTTTACACCACACAGCGGAGGCATTACTAAATGATGGAATATTGTTGAAAAGACGTTTATAAGGCTTTTCTTCTATAAAAACAGTACCCGTGTGTCCTAAAAAACAATGTTTGAATGAGGAGACCATATCCTCGCAAAAAAGTATGAGTTTCAAACTTTTGTTGAACAATTTTTGCTAATTTAACTCATGTTTTTGTTAATCATTCGAGGGCTTGAGAGACGCAGATGTTGGCACATAGTTTGATTCTGAAAAGGCCTTCAGTGTACTCTCCGACAAGTGAAAAGAAGATAATTCCGAAAAAAAGAATGTTTTCAGCCTAAACGAGGTTGGTACGCCAGGGCTATACACCGGTGTTTCGGAGCAGTCTTTTTTTCTTGGAATTATTTTGAATGTTTATCACGAGGTTTTGAAAACAGTCGATCATATGGATTACTTTTGGTCTACCAGCCGAAATCCATCGACTGAACAGTGGTGGACCAGTATCATCGTACACTATGCCATCACCACATACTCCTCCTTGCTACAATGCAGGGCTTAATGTGGGGCGCGGGTCACTGATGAGGAGGCCCGAAACCTCCGAAACACCGGTGTATGGCCCTGGCGTACCAACCTGACTTTGATTCTAGAAAAGTTTCATCTCTACGGAATCATGGATATTTATCGAAGAGACGTATTTTTAGCACAACGAATGCCAAGGTGTCCCAAAAATCCTCACTTTTCAATTCATAGCTACATCCCTAGGAGAAGAGCGTTCCACGCTCAATCTATATTTGTATTGCTTGCCTCTTAAGAATGTACCTCAAGAATACACATTCTACTACAAGCAGTCGAATGTGCAAAACTGGCGATCTAGTGATTTATTACACTTGACAGCACATGTAAGTTATACGTCGTCAACTACTCTATGTAAGGGTATGCAGACCCCGAGAGGACTGGCTATAACGAAGGGTACTGCTCAACTGACGAGGTTGTCAAGGCCAAAACAAAACATGTGTATTGGGCTCTACAAATGTCCATAAAAGGCCACAGGACATGTTGGCTCCAAAAATAATCATCATCCTACAATATATAACCTCTAAGAGCAACTTATACGAAGAAGACTTTGGTATGTATTCAGAGAAGGCCTCAATAGCTTTTGCATTTATTAATTCGAGAACTAAATGCCATAGAACAGATATTTTTTCTAACTCAGGCCCCTCATTTCCTTTATTCAGCAATCAATAGCTAGTACAATCAGAATCGCTAGCAGCAAATTATTAGATCGTTCCATAAGTGCTGGCATTAAAGCACTAAACACCAAATTTATTAAGAAGTAATTAGAACTTCATGATTTTTATATCATTCAACTGTATATTTCCTTGCGAACATTTTCGCACACCGTGCATATAGTTGATTTGAGATGTAGCTGTCTTGAGAACGAATTCGCCTGATACTCATGCATAAATGACGCGCACAGAGAAAATGTTAGTGAAACGGTGTGCAAAATCAATGGTGCTTCCTAAGGACGGCACGAGCTCGACTGATTTTCCAGATTGTCCTCTCCAGCTTTGAAACTCGTGAATCACTTCCAAGCCTTCGTTTCTGCAACCGCATCATCGCCCCAAGCTCCATAAATCCTTCGCCTCGTCACTGGCATTTCCCTCTACGCGCCATTCATGCATGAGTAGCAAGCAAATTTATCTCCAAGACAGTTCCATCGTAAAGAATTATAGTCAAGTTGCATACCAAAATGTTCGCTAGAAAATGGGCAGTTAGACTGTACCAAAACCATGCGATTTTAGCTATTGAAAAAAAGTGGTTTTCACTATTTTAGTGCCGAGACTTATGGTACGACCTAATATCTTTATTTCGGTTAACATTTTATCTTGCATAGAATTTGTACTTTTGACAATCTACAGTTACTAGACCTTTGGTAGTCACTGGATAGGCTGAGTTTTATAGTACTAGGTTTAGCTTCTGGAAATGCTTTCTCAGGGCACAGTACCAACGAGGGGTAGTTCCTCAACTTCTAGCTACTTAAGCCCATTGTTTGAAGTTCAGAGAAGGATTTGTTGACAGTTATATAGCAAGGTTCATATAATGAGAGCACATCTTCGTCATGAAAGGATAACATATCACTAAGCAGATTTCAATAGGTAGTTTTAGTGAGAAAAGCGCTTCTGAGTCTTAACAAGTCATATTTAGTTGTCGGAAAGCGTCATGCTCAAGGATTGAAGATATTTTCGGCTTTACACATTCTTGCCACCTATTTAATAAAAGGAGATCTTTTTCTCTCATTTGCCTTTCTTCTAAACGCTACACATATTTGCCTATATTTTACTCCCAGACATTGAGCATGTACAGTTTGGAAAAGTTGATTTGTTTAATTAATCTGAGACTACGTCGCCTCGAGCATAATTAGCCGTGATTAAAGAGCATGGTAAGATTACGGGTGATGGCATCTTTGACACTCACCGATTATCTCTTCAGCAACGTTTTCTTAAGGAGATTGAGCGCAATACATTGCGCTGTTGGATGGAGTTGTGGAAGTTTTGCCTCTTTGGAGCCAGGGAAGGTCAAAATGAATCGCGGTTTCTCAGTCGACCACTTTCCGAAGATGCATCTTGGAAAACTGTGAACGTCAAGTATCGAATAGTAAAAAATGTGGATTACGTCTTCTGTGAAAGTGCAAAGTCTAATGTCGCATTTTTGTGACGGTCGAAACCTTTCATTCAAGATTTTATACAGGCATACTTCTTCACACAATTTGTTCGATTAGTAGCTCTGCAATAGTCTGCAAAAATTGGTCCGAGAATGTGTTTGCACCTGCGTGCACCATTGTTGGATGTAACAATAGAGTAAAATCGGTCACAAATGTTGGCTTGGAAAGAAAGTTTTTGGGCACTTGCAAAAAGTTGAACATTTATACATAAATTCCCAACATGAACAGTAAATACTATTCAGTTCACGAGATCGACTATTTATTAACTTCTGCATGCTTCAATAATTAATAATTTCCTTCTTGAGCCAAACATCAGGTGTTATAGTATTCTTCATTCAACAGCTGACGTTTCGGCTGTTCGCCTTCTTCAGTGCCTCGAAAGGTCAAATTGTCTGCAATCCAATCAGTCAAACACCTCCAATACTTCTCTAGAAAAAAAAATCACCAGACCTAAATTTCAATCGCATCAAGCGCAAAATCAACTCTCAACATACTCACCGCTTTTTATATGTGTTCCACTGAATGACTCGAGTGGAGACCACCGGAAGGAGATCACATAGGCTCATAATGCACTTTACCCATCAAAACAACTATTCTTCAGAATGAAGACTATCTTTTTTCACAACTTTCTGCCATCGTTTCGTCAAGTTTTGAATCTGGTCGAAGTACCATTGCTTCGAATTCGAATCAAAGAGCTCTTACGTGCTTCTTCAACTTTATTCAATGATTCAAATCGGCGATCCTTCAAAAAGTGCTACATTCGGGTCGGAAAAGGCTATAGTCGAATGGAGCGCAATCTGAACCGTAGACGGGATGCGGCAGAACCGCGACTCCGTCCAGTTCATTAAACTTTGGTTTTTTGGCACTGTGTGGTCTGAAATTTTCTCGCTGCAGCAAAACGCGCTTTCGGTTGCCCAAAGCCAAGTACTTCTCCTTTGGCTTGTCGTAGACTGGACATGGCGGAGGTTGTGACAAAGTGAAGATGAAGACGAGTAATATCTAGGCCTTCGAAAAGGAAAACCTTACGTAGGAAACTGTACTATTCCCATAATATGCATGGGAGTATCTCATGCTTATTGGAGTGCTCTAGAACTTTCATTCCAATGCAGTCACTTCGCAGCAATAGGCTGACTCTTTGTTAGCATTACGTCCACAAGAACGAACCCCTTCTAATCTTTTCTCAAAGGATAGGGTTCTGAGCGACTGCCTTGAGCACTCACCAGTTATCTCGCATCTTCGAAACTATATTCAACATCGCTTGACTCACTATGAAAGAACGAGCATCTGAGATGAGTTCAGTGTTTTTTATGGTAATATTGGGTCCGTCATTATGCAGAAGAAAACTTGCTCATGTAGTTGTGGAGATTGATTTCCATCAGAAGCGGGTAACGAATTTCTGCTTTCATGTACTGATACGTGGCCGCAACGAACTACAAATGTTCGCATTTTGAGCTATTTGAAGAGTAGAAGCTAAACGAGGTACAAAAAATCATCTCAAGGGCATAATGAACTGAAAAGAAATGAGTAGACCATGCGCATTTAGTGCGCATAAAAGGCAACACATGTCACAGTAAAAAAAAGTTGACAGCAAAGCATAAATGGATATATAAGAAATTAATACCCATTAGACAATATAGCAAAGTCTCTCATGCAACACTGTAGAAAAACTCAATTGTATTTTTTTTTTTGCTTTATTGATCCGTCCTTGTAGTGTTTTTTTTTTTGCTGTGCGGATCTCAGCACCGCTAGCATT